TTTTTTATTACTTTTCTACTTTTCTGTCGTTCTGTCGTTAAAAGACCTCCCAAAAACTGGTGACCGCGACGCACGCACGCACGTACATACATAACAATAATATTATACCTCGGTATCTTACCTACCTACGCTATAATATATGACCACTGAACCCCGATAGAGACGATGTCGTTCCGAGTTCCGACAACGTACTGACCGCACGCGTGATATCGTATTGCTGCAGTGATGTACGCGCGTAATGTATTATAATGCATCGTCGTGTGCTTTACACACCGCACACACACATATATATATATATATATATATATATATCATATATGTTATATGAATTTGTATATAGGACAGAAAACGGAAAAAAAACCGACACAGATGATATTACGGATATCGAGACACTGTGAGATTTGGGGAATTATGATATAAAATATATTATTTATCCATTATAAAATACAACGCAGACATTGACCGTTCACTTTTTTCGTTCCACTGCAGCAGTGTCATAATCATCGCCACTGCGCTCGGGTAACACGGTGGTATGGCTGGGTTTCGGTCGACTTATTATCGGTGCGTGCCACGCGATTTCGGTGTACCGCACAGGCACAGTGTTTGCATATACGAGGCCGACCGTTATTGTCTATACTTCACAATAATTATAATATATTGTGGATGAGCACCGTAGTATAAAAGTAGGTACATAGTACAATATAATAATAATAATTATCATATTGCATTAGTAAATTATTGTATGATGTAATAATATGTTATGTATTGTATAATAGTGAATTTACCCAAATTTGTTGAATGAATTAAAGTTTTTAAAAATTAATTAATAAAGGCATATTGTTTGTTTAACAAATCCTTGCCATCGGATTATATTGTTCCATCTCTAATATTTATTTTTTCTCTTAATTTTCAAACGACGAAAATATTATTATTTCGTATTTTAAAATGTYAATTTCAACCAATGCTGCAAAGATTTCAATAGTTTAGATTTGAATTTTAATATAAATGATAGGTATATTGCTATAATATTTTACCTACTGTTTTTTTTCAATTGAGAAAAACACAACAAGGTCTCAATGTCTCATTGTTATCTGGCTAATGAAAATTTAATTTAAGGTTTAGGACTTGATTTAATAAAAGTTTCTGTATAAATTATTTAGCAATAAGATTGATTACCCGGAAATGTTGCGATGCTTTATGGTGATTGATGAAAATAAAAATTGTTTATTTTTTTTTTTAATAAGCACAAATGATGTGTGTTTATAAATATTTTAGAAAAAATAGTATAAAATAAATTAAATATACAACATTTCGGCCTGATGGAACCTTATAACATATAAAATTGRGAGTTATTTAAGTAATTACAATAATATGACACCACGTTTATTTTGGGCACCTTCTGCAGAGGTCACTAGGAGTATAGTGATGGAAACAAATAATTATGAGATCAAGGGGTTGCGGTGGTGGAAGAGATTGGGTGCGCATGTAAAAAATCTTGGCGCTATTCTTTACTGTTTGRGTGGATATACCTTTKTGGGAAKTATCATTTGAGACTAGTATAGAGCTTTGGGTATTAGGCAAAGGCATTTGGATTAAAGTATTTGAATTTTACTAGTGTACCAACACTTTGGCAGCTTCCCATAATCAAATGCCATAGGTCCATGTGTATGTGGTTTAAATTTTCATTATAAAATAGTATTATAGCTATTAGCTATTGTTATAATTTCTTTAATTTTATGTAAAAAGGAATTAACCAATTCACTATATTAGTTTCATACAGTACATATATAATTATTAAACACTTATATATATATTACTATATTAGTATTATTATTGTAATTTAATTTTCGAAATAAAGATTATATTAATTATTGTTACTTAATACCTAATCTTATTTTGTCCTTACTGGATATCAATTACAATTTAGCGAAATCAATATAATATTATAGGTAAATATGCGAAATGTTTGTACTCACCATATCTGACACTGTTCTTTGGCGGTAGATTCTGTTGCCAAGCCTCGGACAAACTAATCAAAAYGGTAAAGACGAGCAAGTTGACCAGACGACGTGTTCCGCAACTCGAACAGTCCCACATATTTATAGGTTGTTCGGAGAATTCATCTGAAACTAAACAAACGRTACGACGTCGTTTAATAACATATAAACTATCATAATAAATATCTTGTAGTTGTATATAGAGTGTACACTCCACAACAGCMACACATATTATATAGGTAGGTATAATATTTTCTTGGCGGCGGTTTAACTAAAAATAATATATTGCACAAATTAACTTCTAAACAAACCCTTAAAACCATCTAAACGGTCGTCTAACCGCTATACAATAAACGCATATAAATCATATACTTTAATACTATATTTTTCATACAATACGCGCTATTAAAGCTATAAAGAATAACGAATGACGGCCAATTAAAAATTATGTACCTATATATAAAATACAAATAAATAGTAAAATAGTATACGTTTGTCAGCGTATAGTTGTAATACAGCAAGGTATAGGTAAGTGTGTAAGCTATAGGTACTATACATTTATTACTTAGATAATTATAATTGCAATAAATGTATCATATTTCAAGATTCAGCTCGAGGGTATATTATATCGTTTCAAATGAGTATCTATTTAAAACACTTTGGCAAGAACAAAAGGATTATATATAACAATATCATAATTAATCTTAAATACTAACATCGTATAGCACATACGTAATGTCAACTTAAATTACACCGTTACTTTATTAAAGTTACTGCTTGTTTATATGGACTGCACATGAATGTATTTACTCATCCCAACACCTTTCTCTTCATAACTTGATCCATAAATCATTGTATAACGTTTTACGTTGCAAAATGAAACTATACGTTCAAACGAATGTGTTATTTAAGCACAGTAAATTATTACCAAATGAATTATTACACGCAACCTATGGTAATACGATAAAAATGCAATAACTTCAAATTTTAATATTATTGAAAAATCCTAAACAATAATATTATGCAATCAAAAATTAATTCAAACATAAATCAAGATAATCATATTGATGGTATATACCTATTTATATTTTACTTATAGTATTTAAATGTATATCAATATTGAATGCATTATTATCTACCCACATTTTTTAACGTTTATTTAATATAAAATAATTTATTAGTTTACCATTGGGCGTATTTATTCTGACTATGATTTATTTTAACTATTTTAAGAACAGCATTCGTAATTTTAAAAATTATATAAGAAATTCGGCAGCATTTGACGAATAATATATATAGGTATAGCATAGATAGTAAACATATTGTATAATAATCCGAGTGACCTATATTAATATGGTGGGAAAATTAAAGAAAAAMRTTATTCGCACGTTGAATTATATTCACACTATTTTCATGAAAAAGTTAAGGGAACTCAATTTTGAAAAATATATATCAATAGGCAGTACTACGACGAGAATCACTTTGATTTTATAAAAAAAAAAAAAAAATACCAAAATGCAAATGATTATTATAAACAAATAATATTAAATATAATGCATAATTTAAAAGGCGTTGTATATATACAACACAAGTCAGCATACACGCGTTGTGTTTATGTAATTAGGTAATGAAAAAAAAAAAATCGTTTAAAAATAATTACTGGTTAATCGGTATTTTTTTTTCAGAGAACAATATATTATAATATGCAAGCGCATMAATTAAACGGTTTTTTGGGGGACTTCGCGTGTGGCGGAAAGCGCAATACCCTGTAAAGCTATACCGGCCGAGATACCTGCAACTGTCCAAACACAATATTAATCTTTAGACAATAATATACGTATATAAAATTCCTCGACCGTTTTTATCTTGTGAGATGTATCTTTAAAGTTTTCGGTCACTCATTGCATAGTCACACACACACATATATATATAAATTATATATTCTAATATAAGAGCTCTATATAATATATCCCATATAAGACCAGAATTATATACAAGCGTACTTGTAATATATTACACGCATGAATATATATTAGTATTATATTATGTCATTGAAACCTACGTACAATTTACGAAAACGACCGCCTCCGAGCAACGCCATAATTTAATAATAATATTATAATCAAGTAAGAAACGTAAGTTGCTCAACTTTATATTCGTTTTAAATTGTAACGGACTTTTAGTCATGTTAAAAAGCCGATCATTACAATATTMTAGCTTTCTTTCTCTCTCTCTCTCTCTCTCTCTCTCTCTCTTTCTCTTCACCAAGAAAGAGTTGAACTGACTCGCTGCACGTTAACAACAAAGCCACACACACACGTCACATATTATAAGTACTCGTGCCTACATATGTATAAACACGTGTACAAGACAACCACTCTCATATATGCATCGTGTTCATATTATGTATATATAATAATTCGTAAGCGTGACCGATGGAAACTCTATTTCGCGTCCCCTCCTCCCCCCCACACGGATCTCGTTGCTGTACACGCTTGGAACTCGACATGATAATATTAATATTATAAATATGTACATCGTCGGGAGGGAGAAATAAAATACGAAATCACTGGAATCGCGAATCTGGCGCGGCATCACGGCTATGTAACGCGTGGGCATCGTGTCACGCGGCGGCGGCGGCGGCGGCGGCGGCGACGAACACTTTCACCGGATCATTAAATAATAATTATCGTATTAATAGTATAATTATTGTTATTACTGAAGTCAAATACCGGTATAATGCAATTGTACCTACCCGTCCGCGTACAGTTTAAAGCACCCGCGAGTGTTGTAACACAACATAATATAAATACTCCGTCGCGATCTCAACATCATCGCTGGATGCAGGTTTGATGGAATTTCGCGTTTACCAATCAAACCGCCGAGACGTCATCGTGCAAGAGGAAACGATGAGGCATCTTTTATATCCATTTCTACTCCAGGCGGAGTTTTTTGCGATAAAACGATAAAATAATTTCATATTATTATATCGCAGTATGCCACATCGATGGCCATCGTATAGGGACGCACTCGCGTATATAGTGAAGAAGCCGAAGAAACCCAACCGATAGGGTTACGGTATACATWAGTCRCATATACTGATAATCGGTATTGGCCTGCAAACAGCTGAAGGGATGTAATTACCCGTGTAAGGTATCGGATATYACGAAAACGTCAGAAGTACAACGAGGACGGCAGCACGCGTCCGCGTATTTTTGGAATCCAATTTAAAATAAAACCACTATCGGTCGAATAGACGCGGTTGACACTTTTGCACCATCGCGCACATGGCCGCACCATCGGTTAACCGGGAAGTCATATTAATATTGTAGTTTTTATAATATTTTWTACGCGGTATACACAGAATCATCGTTGCCATATCGGTGCATTGTTGCAGTAAATTAATATGACACAAATGTATCGTGTTTATCCGGGGAAGATACTTGGGTACGTCAAAATACAAATAAGAGGTATATACTATTAAATATTAATAATATTATATAGAAAATATAAAGTACCAGAAATCGGTTGAAATGTATWGATAAACCCACATTTGTTTTAAAAAAAATTATAATATAGGTTATGCTGCTATATTACATTCGAGAAAATTTGTTGAAAACAACGACTGCTGCATGCATTTGGGAAACACTGCGTAAAAACGACATTAAAATTATACATATTTATTCGTTTTTAATGTATGCGTTTTAAAATAAGAAAGCGTACATTAGCAAAAACCTTAATAACGTTTAATCGATTTTTCTTTAAAACTATTTGTGTGCCTGCCGCTAATTAAAATAATTATGTACATTATGTATACTCGCGACGTCGTAAATGAAAAGCAAACTATTTTGTWTATGTTATAATAGCTAGTCGAAAAGGTTCGTTTTATTTACTTAATTTTGGTAATTGTATTAATAAAAGTCAGTCTTCGAACACATAATATTTAATATACGAGATGCCGAGACGAACTTGGAGTATGCTCTGAAGACAAAAGGGCGGMGTGATCTATACAACTAAATCACTTATCAATATTTTAATGATACATTATTATTGTGACAACATTTCTCATAACGTATATAAGGTTAGAAAAAAATATAATAATGGTATTTATGGTTTTAAGAACGAAATCAATTTTATACATAATAATAATATATGCGTTCCGAATGCTAATTCGAGATTTTACAAACAATATAACCTATATTATTAAAATATGGTTATTCGGGTATCGATTTATTTTCAAGTCGAATCGAGAACAAAACGTTACGAAACAACAATAGCTGGTAGATATAGTACTTAAACCATGTATTTCAGACGATGGCGAGGTGTCTATTGCTCAATTCTTGATACTATAACAATTTGCCAATTCACCCAGATCCGAGACATGATTTYGAAACAAGGCTACACTTCGAGGGGGTGATAAACGACAGCACAGTGGCGGTCACACACCGACCACGTCATGTATAAATAACCAAATATGCGTAATATACTATATATTATATAAGTATATAAAACACGATAACTTCATGATAATAGCACATCGGGGCATATAGATGTTCTAGAGTATCACGTTATAATAGCTGATATTATAGTATAGATATAAGGCAAATTATTGTCGGTCTACTGCCGTAAACATAGCTATAGAAGTACCGGACCGTTTCATCCGAACTAAATCGAATTACCGATGCGAAATTTTACAGCGATTCGAAAATGTGATATTTAAGAACACGGATTTGTTCAACCCCTTCGGCAATCGGATTGATCGAAATAATATACGCCACACAAGTATATCTATATATATAATAGTAATGACAACCTGTCCGCTCAGGGAATTATATTATTATTATTGTATATAATACATATTATATATATATATATATATGTGTGTGTGTGTGTGTGTGTGTGTGTGTGTCTGTCCGTCTCGTTCATAATATACTATGTATAGCATTAATAATAATATGATTATCGGTTATATGGACCGGATGGCGTGCGTTTAATAACGATAATTCTTGACACGACAGCAAGCTGCATTCAGGTATAAAAAATATAATACGAAATTTATATATATATATAACGGCGAGGACAATCGGCACGGACTGGAAATCGCTACGGTTGACCAATCGGAACTAGAACGC